CAAATTCCATGGTTAGGTTGGGAGGATACCTGCTGCCACTCCAGAGCTCCCACTACTCCCTCACCTTAGGGCTAACAATCTCGCATTAGTTTCAAACCAACTGGACCAAATTGTGGATTTTCATCTGTCACCTTAAAATCTCCAATTCTGCATCCAACAAAATATATTTCCCTATTTATTTGCACTTAACCCCATGGAGGATATCCTCTCCCATGGAATCAAATCTGATTCTCACTATGTTGTAGAAATCAAAGCCCTTTGGGAACATATGTTTCTCAACACATATTAACATTTCAATTGGCCAAATCAAAAAGTAAATGAAGATCAAAGTTAGAATCACAAAAAAATTTAATATTTAAAACTGTATAAAATAAAATCAATTCTTCACAAAATTATATATCAAAGTATGAAGAAAGATAAAGAAAACTACTTAGAATTCATGAGAAAGATACAATAAAACACAGATTATATATATAAAAATAAGTTTACAAAACAAAGAAATAAAATAACACAACTTATCTCACAATCCTTCACAAGCAAATCCCAAAAGTTCTCTTCAAGCACTTTCCCTCTTTATAGGTACTCTCAATTCTCTCTTAGAAGTGTAATGAAGAAGAAATCTTTCACCTTCCCTCTCCTCTTACAATCCTTGAAAAAAATCTTCATGCCCTAGACTTTCTCTCTCTCTCGCTCCCTTTCCTTTTTCTCACTCTCACACCACACACACACACACACACACACACACACCCCTTTTGCCTTAAACTTCCCTCTCTTTTATTAGAGGTTGTCTCCCTCCAAAAATAATTCAAAATTCCTTCCAAAATTTTATCTAAAAGTGAACTCTTTTGAATTCAAACGACATGTCTCTTTTGAATTCAAACAATTCAAACGACATGTCTATTGATCCAAGAGACATATCCCTTCATAAAAGAACCTTCCAAAGTGTCTAGATGCATTGAATCACTCTAAAGGGTGTTTAGAACAAATGTTCCTTTTGAAATTCCTGCAAAATTCATCCCAAACTACCTTAATCCACAAAAATTTGTCCAATTATGGTGCATGGCACATCTGGCACCAATCTGGTGCATCAAGCGCCACTCTGCAGCAGCTCCACCATTTTACTCTGTTCAGCTCCATTTCAGTTCTGTTTCGCCTCGTTTTAGTTGTGTTTCGCTCCTAACAGATATACCTACAAAATAAGCATGAAAACAACCTTTCTTTAAAGTGTAATTTCATTCAAAAAATGTGAGAAATGTAAAGTAGATTAAGCATAGAGAGACATATCAAAATGTGTCAAGTCAGAATTTTCTTTTTTGCTCGTTTTTACTCCAAATTGAACAATTTTTGTTTCATTTTCTCCAAAAGTCCATTTCTTGTACTTGAAACACAAAAAATATGCAAAATACCTTCCTTTAAAGTGTAATGTCATTAAATATTATTAAAATTGAGCATAAAATATATTTGAAAAAATAGGTAATTTTTAGGTGTGTCACCTCACTACCTTCAATTTGAGCGTCAAAAGGTGATGGATGAAGATGTTGACGATGATGATGAGGATGAGGAGTAGTTTTGTGTCTCAGTAGTTACTTTTCTTATTTGTTATGATTTTTTTCCATCGTTGTTGTGGTGTGCTGAACATTATATTGTGTTTATTTTATTTTAGTGTGAATTTAAAGCTTTTTTACTTTCACTACACTTCTAGTACCTTTTTATATATATTGCCTGTATGTGATAGTAGTTTTTTACTTAGGACTTTACTTGCTAAACCTAGTTTTAAAAATTTCTTACTGCTACACATTCATGTTTTTATTTCCAGTACCTATACTAATTTCATGTTTAGAACCCTGTATAGATATTTAGTATGTTAAATTTTTCTCTCTTCACACTTGTTATGTACAATAATGTTATACACCATTTAAAAATTCAAGTTTGGGGGAGGGAGAAAACTTTTTAAAGTTAAACTTTATTTATCCTCAATAAACTATATATTTTTAAATTATGTTAACATAACTTATGGTATATGGTGTTAGCTTTAGATAACTATAATTTTGATTTTATAAATGTTATAGTAGACTTAAGTAAAAGTTTTTTTAGTAATAAAGTGTAATTCTAAACTTAAGGCATTTAGTATAAAAGTATAAGAATATTGCTTTTACCTTAGAGTAAAAAAAGTTGTATTTTTGAAACACTAAAGATTTTAGATCTACACTTTAAAAAGAATTAGAGACTCTATGAAAAATTATTAATGTACTAATACACATTATCAAGTAAAGAAATGTGAGAAGTTCTTAACTTTAGGAAGAGGATAATAAAGTTCAAAATCATTTAAGGTTATCCAAATATAAAAATCCTCACATAAAAAGAAAATAGAAGAAAGGATTGATAATGATCCTGAAAGAAAAAGAAAAGCACAATAAAAGAAAAGAAGGGCAAAAAACAAAAAATTGTGGAAAAAAGCTTGAGGAGATGCCTAATTCAAAATTGGCTTCACTTGAATAATCTTAAAGGAAGAAAACTTATTTACACTTCTAAGCTTATTCATAATTTTTAAAGTATTAGTGTTTAAACTAGTAGAGTTCTCATATAATTCTTCTCTTTTAATTCTTCTAAGATTCCTGAGTGTGACAAATTGCATTTATTTTTGAAATGAATAGAAAATCAGAATTCCTAACTTGATTACTTAATATCCTTTCATTTTAGTTCTAACCTGAGTTATTGAAAATTTTTCTAAAAGTTTCATTATCACATTTATGGGGCAAAAATATAAGATTCTTTAAGTGAAACCCACTACCATAAGTTACTATATTTGGTTTACATTGGACAAGGGTTACTTGAGGACAAGTAACATTTAAGTTTAGAGGAATTGACATGCCTTAAAATTACATATTTTTATATATGCATTTTATGCTTATTTTTAAGAATATTTCACTTTAATGAAAGATATTTTTGTGTGTTTTTTATTTCAGGTACAAGAAATAGAGTTTAAGAGCAAAAGTAGCAAAAATGGAGCAAAAATGGGCCAAATGGAGCAAAAGAACAAAAAGTGACCAGGCGCTTAGCCGCTAGGATCTAACGCCTAAGCGCCAGGATGTTCTAGAAGGTTGGCGCCTAGGCGCCACAGTTGGGCGCCTAGGCACAAGAAATGGTTTGTCCTTGTATACATTGAATTTGAACGAATTCCGAAAAGGTGCCTGAAGTGACCCTTAGTGATTTTCAGAGCTTTATTTATAAGAAAGATTTCCACACAAAATAGTGGAGGTTTTTGAGTCGTTTTTAGTAGGTTTAGCCCACCATTGGAGTGGGCGGCCACCATAGTGAGAGTGTGGTGAGTCTTGGTGTTTGTGGAGTCTTTTGTGAGTCTTGTGGAGTCAAGATCAGTCAGGGAAATTCAGAAGATTGCTTGGGGAAGAGTTTGAGATAAGTATTTCTATTTTGTTTAAGTTTTGTTTTGTGAACTTGATTTTTAATATATATCATGTTTTATTTCATTATCACCATAAATTCTGAGTAGTTTTCTTTTCTTTCTCCTTGCAATAAGAAGTAATCATGTGTGGGGGGTTAGAATGTTTTGAAGATTTCTTTTATTCAAAAAATTTGTGATGATATTTTCACTGGTTCTTCATTGACTTTGTAAACTGACCATTTGTAATGTTAAAATCCATTGTGAAACTTAATGACTTGGGAGGGTTATGATTTCACCCAACTAGTGTGAATCACACTAAAACTTGGATAAAAGGGATGCCAAGTCCAAGGGGGAGTGCAAATAAATAGGGAGATAAGTTTTGATGGGCATAGAATTTGTGATTCTAGAGTGACATGCTAGATCCTTTTTCAATTCGGTCTTTAGTTTGGAACTTGAGGTCTGGTTAGTCCTGTAGAAAGGGCACAATGAGTAATCTGAAAGTGAGAGACAGAAATCTACTTAGCACATCCATATTAATCAGGGACTTAACTTTAAGTTAGACAAAGTTCTTTATGCATTTGAGAGAGGGTAAGGAATAAATATGTTTCTATTTGTCATAAAATCTTATTTTCATTGTTAAGCATTTGATTCCTACACTGATTATAATCTTTTTGCAAGGGGAAAGACTTTTTGTTGTAATCGTACTTCCTTACACATATGTAGTTTAAGAAACTGTGCATTTACTTTTAGCTTTGCATTTAGAAGTAACAAACTTTAGTTTATACCCTTTTACAGAAAGTTTGATATTTTTCTCCTACAAATTTTGTTTATAGTTTGGGTATAAATATTTCTAAGTTAACATATAAATTCCTTTATTCCTTATGGGTTAGATACTGAGATTTTGAAAGAAAACTCGATATTATTTGAAACGATATGTATGCTTGAGTAGTACCCGTATTGTGTAAGCCATTAGTTAATTTTATAACATATTTATTTTGCACACTAGCCGCTGAATATAAATTGGGTTTGTTGGTTCTAAGCTTTTTGAATATTAATGCATGTAACCTATTTATTTTGCACAATAGATCATGGAAGGAATTTAATATCAATGCAGGTAACTTGAGGGCTTTTTGACTATGTTTCTAACTTCTTTTGTTTATTAAATTTTATAGTTTTCTTTGTTTTTATTAGTCATTTCATTTTGCTTTTTGGATTTGTTGGTTTATTGTATAAGTGGAAGATCTTTTGGGCATTATTATCCATTACTTCAGAAGTTTTGGCTAAAGTATTTTTTGGATTGTTAGTTGTTGTTGTGGATATGTTGGACTTTAGAGGTTATATTCAGTATTTCTTTCATGAATTATTTACCGTTGCAGTTTTTTTTATTTTAGATGTATTTTGTTTTTTTTCTTCTGTTTGGTTGGGATTTTTTTATTTTTTTATTGAGCTAGTCATCACTTTCATTTTCCAAAAAAAAAAATAATAATAATTAACTGCCATCTACATTAAATAATTTTTATGGATACCTTCATAATCTACTCCAAAGAAATTAAAAATTGTTAAAAAAAATAAAAAAGCACTCGCCCCAACGGCGGGACCTTTGACCTTATTTGCTTCCTTTGTGCTCCATCTATGATGCAGAACGTGCTGCAGGCCAGAACGCTCTTGCACCTTAACGCCGCTACGGCAACGTTCTCCTTTGCCCAAAAGTTTAACTTCGAAGTTCTCAGTTTAGTCCAAACACGACTCCCGGCGACCTTCTGGCACGTAAGCATCAGTTCCCCGCCTCCCTCCTGATGCTCCGCTCCACACATTGGAGCTTAGAAAAGGAGTGACTTTTTTGAGAAGACCGTTTATATACCGGTTTATTTAAATAGAGAAGAACGGCCCAACTCTTCACCTTGTCAAATTCTTCCTATCTCCTATTTCTTTAACGTGTTTAGGGGCATAATTGAGTCCTACAGCAGTGGAAGGGGTCAGAGGGTAGTTCTCTGCTGATGGACTCGAGGTAAGCGCCTTCTGAGCTCTATGTCGATAAAGCTGCTTATTTTCTGCTTGGCTACAGCAGTATAGGAGAAACGTCCCGTCGATGTTTTGGTGATTTTCAGCTTTTGCAGAAATGTTCGATTTTGTCATATAAGGAAACTGAAGTGGAGAATAGATTAAATAGGACTTGCTGTCTGCAATATTGATTGCTTTGAAAACAATCTCTTTTGCTTTATCTTATAACTTTGTTTTGAAGGGGCCTTTGATATTGTAATTGAACTCTTGCACTGGGTTTTCTGTCTTGGGCCCGCACGTTTTACTGATTAGTAGGCTAACCTAGGTCATCTATGTAAGTTGTGATCTACTATAGAGAGAAGTTTTGGTGCCATGTAAGGCTTATTTCTTGTGCAATACTTGATTCTGATAAAAAGGGATCTTATGCAAAATTAGGATTGGAACACACATGATCTAGCAGAAAAGCGCCGCTGCTGTGTCTTGTTCATTGTGATGCTCTATTGTGATTTTTATACTTCTTATACCCATTTGTTTTATACTTGTGCTACGGCATTTTCCTTGTTACTTGCTTTAAGCTTGTGATTATTTATGTATGGGTAGAAGTGAGGCCAGCAATATTATCAGTTCCTAAATAAGTGAATTTTTCTTAATCAATGTAAATTTTCGGATTCTATGTCTTTTTGTACAACATCTTTATTTTTTTTCTACATGTTAACTTGCATTTTGACAAGATTTGATTGGGATCCTTTTCATGTCATGCGATTTCATTGGCGAGATACCGATGGTGAACTTTTTTAAAGGAGCGAATGCTTGAATCAATGATAAACTTAGTTAATATGTTTGTAAATATCTCTATGTTCTATTTTGTTTAGTTTTTATTTTTCATTTTTATTTTTTGTCGTACGAAGTAGCTTCATTGAGAAGATAGCTGTGGTGGTAACTTTTGGATAAACGGGCAAAACACGCGATTCAAATGATACCGCGACGTTTTCAAAAACGCCCTCGCACTTATAAGCCGCCCCAAACACACCCTTATTTAAAAGGAAGCAAATGCTTAAATCAATGTAAAACTTCAGTTCATAAATCTCTAGATGTTTTCATGTAAAACTAATCAGCCTGAAGTTCTGCAACCAATAAATCAGAAATATTATTTTCCTTTCTAGTGCCTAGAACAACTGCTAACCTTTTAAAATTCTTTGCTATGCTTTTCATGGCATTCATTTTGCTATTAATAGATTCTTGAATGAGGTTTATATCATGCTTAGAGGAGTGAATTCACTTCAGATATTATGTATAAGCCAAGGTGGTGTGACCTTGTAATGAAATACGAACAGCTTCAAATGTTGTTGTTAGAATATAGGAGGAAGTAGCTTGAGGTGGTCATTGAACTAACCTTGGAGTGACCTAAATCAAGCACACCAAGTTTGAATTTTGGGACTTAGGGCTTTTTGAATGGAGGGGGATTTAGGCTTAAGAGTGACTTTTAAGGGTTAGGGGAATGTATGTTGGTTTTCTTTAGAGTTGGCGGAGAGATTCCAAGAGGTTTAGAGGCTTGTAAGACAGGGAAACTCAATACTAAGTCAAGAGTGTCCAATCTTGGCAAAAACTACTCTAATGCTTTGCAAATTATTCTGAGGGTTGAGGAGGCTAAGGAATTGGACTGGAAATATAAGAGGGGAGAAGGTTATTCCAATTAATTAAAGATAAGTTTGTGCATGATAATTCTTGCAACTCACAAAATAAACTCGTTGAAAAAATACCGTGTAAATTCCTTAGCTTTGGAAATGGACAGCCAAGCTTTTCCCCAGAGAAAAGAAAACCAATTTTTTTTCAAATCAACATTCAAGCTCTTCATTACTTTATCAGAACATACTATAGAGTCTTTAGCATTAAAAGAAGAAAAGAAAAACCAAGGGCGTGAGGAGTTGAGGCCTTCCCCATTGAAAGGATGCTAGGGAGTTGAAACATCCCTTGGCCAAGAAGTATGACTCTTTAGCTTGAGAAAGATATGTCCGACCACTCTTTAAGGATTAGTTTCATTTTCATGCAATTTCCCTCCAGTTGAATTCTAGTAGCATTTCACTCAGAATCTGAAAATTTCATTTTCAAAACTTAATAATGTGAAAAAAAAAAAACAAAATTTACGGCTTTCTTGTCTTAGAATTACAACAAGATTAGCAAGTGTAAATAAAACCAGGCTAATGATTTTTTTAAAGCTTGCTTTCTACTTTGGCCTCCTATGGTTGGTCTATGTTTTTTGTTTTGGGCTATTGTGGGTTAGTCCATGCTTAGCTCTATTATCTTCCCATGCTACTTAACAAGCATTTCTTATATACAATTAGATTTATTTAATATATGAATGAGAAATGTGGACCCTTACCTCAAGAGCTTGCAATTGCATTGATTGTGATTCTTTGTCACAGGTAAGACACGTTGCTTTCTGATTGAAGAGAGCACAACTACTGGGATCTTTGATTTTCGTAGCTCATTTGCTGTCTTTTTCACTGTAGCTCTGGCCTCCTTGGTTCTACTCTCGAATATACGGTGGGGGTTGCCTTGCCAAGTAGATCAAGATGAATCTTAATGATTTGGAAATTAACTTGGCTGTGCTGAGTCTTTTTTAATGATTGTTCCGGTTGAGCTGGTCACTATCATGTTGATTAGGGATGTAAGCAAGTCCCTTGTGTACTCTTTAATTGAGTAGATTGTGGCTCATGTTTCCAACTAGTTGATTGTTCCTACAACTAAAGCTTTTAGGATTGAATTGGCTTGATCTTTTCTAAGTGAAACTGGAACAACTGTAATTAAAGCCAAATCCTTTCTGATTACGCTTAAGGTATGCTATGTAATCTAATCATAAGGGCAACTTTGATCCCATCATTGTGTATTGGGCTAGATTTAGCATATCAACTATTCTAAATTGCTAAAGTGGCTTGACACACAGGAACTCTACATCTATGTGGTCTTAGAGCTTAATTAAGCAACTAGATCATGCCAACATGGCTTGAAATTTTCTTGTTTTGCTTGAATCACCTCTAATAACCATTGTTTATCGGCATTGGGCTTGGCTGATCTCTATGTAATGAGCCCATTGTAAATAAGTGAGCGATATGGCATGACGTAGTGGGGTGATTTGGTGTTTCCATGTGTTAAATTAGTCTTAACCACATGGTTACAATTTTGAAGATGTAGTGCTAATTTTCCAAATGAGCCAAACTTTTGCTTAGGTCCAATTGACCAAATTGATTTAACCTTTATGGAATTGAGGGTTGCAATGAGCTTAAATGAGCTTTGTTCGAATCTATTAGCTACAATGTGACAACACGAACACATAACCAACGAGATTTGTTTGTTTTGGCCTAGTGGCCTCACAGTTTTGCCTCATTGGTGTTGTAATGTCCGATGTTTTTTCATAGTTAGCATCACCGTTACAGCAGAGGAGTCATATGGAGTGGGAGAGGCACAGTTTTTTCATTTTTATAAGAAAAACGAAACCCACGTTTCAAACCATAACAATTTTGGCATCCTGAGAAGCAAGCAGAGATGCCATTGAGAGGAGGAGAGAACGAGATAGGGCAATGTCTACTCCGATCATGAATGCGAGCATACTTGCGAGGATGATTAATACGAATGAAGAGAACAATGGATGTGTGAGCGACTAGAGCATGGATTTGAGTGTCAGGAAGGCTCACCAAGAGATGCCATTGAGAGGAAGAGAGAATGAGATAGGGCAACGTCGACTCCAATCATGAATGTGAGCATACTTGCGAGGTTGATTGATACTACGAAGACAACAATGGATGTGCGAGCGACTCGAGCATGGATTTGAGTTTCAAGAAGGCTCACCAAGAGGAGGAGGAATAAACGTTGAAATCAGAGGAGGAAGAAGAAGCGATGGGATAGTGTGGTAGGTCAAAAAAGGCATATGAGTAATCGACTGTCGTATGAGATCCTTTGTTTGGAAGAGGAGATGATCTGTGATGACTCTAGCGATTGAAGCCAAAGAGCTGACGCTGTGGAGCAGGCAAAGGCGATGAGGCCGCTTTGGCAATTTTTAAACGAGAGAAACTACGAGCAAATGAAGTAAGAAGATGACATACGATTCTTGGTGTGTGGAATTGAACGAAGTTGAACATGGAGGGCTCAATAGGGCTTGCATTTGAATTGAACGAGTGAGGTGTTTGGTTAAAAAAAGATCAGCCATTCCAGGGTTGTAGATGGTCAAACTGGGCAAAGCTCTATGCGATAGGAAGAAAATAGGGAGGGCTTTTTTGTGTGAGTCACGTGCACATGCAGAAGAAGAGGAAGGAGGAGCCAAGGCTTCATGTGGGGAAGAATGGAAAAAGGGAGCCTTGCATTATGGGTTGTCAAATAGAGCAGTGTACTATGTGCAAAAGGAAAAATAGAAATGAGGCGGCCGCATGCACGTTTTGTGAAGGAGGCAGCTGAGCTTCAGGTGCTAAGGTAATTTTATTTACTTTGAATTATTTGGATTCAATAAAAATTATGTAATACTAAATTTCTAATAATTATTAACGAGTACTTTGTCTTTTAAAAGGTTTTAAGTTATATAATAATAATAATAATAATAATAATAATAATAATAATAATAATAATAATAAGATTATATAGTTAAATTTATAAAATATCATAGGTATTATTTTGAAGAATTTAAACCGTTAATTCATAAATTCATAATGAGGCTTAATTCTTTTTTTTATTAAAAGTTAGTCTTCATGTTATAGAGATTATTAAGAAATAAAAATCTAATAAATCAGATTAGAAAAAGAATTGTGATAGTTATATTGTGACAAACTATAAAATATTAAATTGTTGATATAATTTAAGATTAGTTAGTTGTATTGGGGGAATCAAATTTATAATAAAATTTAAATTATTTTATATTTTATGTAGAAAACATGTATGAAGAGGATAAATTAGTTCACTTCATTATTCAAATGTAGGGCATATATTTATAGGGAAAACAATTTATTCTAATTTATAAAC